GGCAAGCTCATTTGTGGTGACTTCAATATGCCCGAAATTTCTTGGCTGCCAGTCAAAGCGCCGAGACGTTATGAATCATTTATTGAATGTCTAGAGCTTGGACAATGGACTCAGTATGTCGATAGCCCTACCAGACATCAAAACATCTTAGACTTAGTCTTTACCAGTGGCCTCATCCCCAATACTTTGTATATTGGAAAAAAGTTCCCAGGTAGTGATCATAACATTGTCATATGCAGCCTTAATGTAAAAACCACAACCGATATAAGTAAAACCGTAACACTTCGTAGAAACTATCGCAAGGTTGATTGGAATAACTTCCACAATTACCTAAGAAGCACTGATTGGAGAACTTTCTTTACCTCAAACAATACCGACACATTAACCAATATATTTTATCACAACATCAAAAGTATCATCAACAACATCGCACCTTTAGAATACTGTAAACCTACGTTCTCCAAAGATCTCTATATACCGGTCAGTACAAGAAGACGTCTTCAAAGACATTGTACTCGATTCCACAACTTAAATGACTTTTCCTCTTTAGTAACGATGACAGAAATACTTGTCCGAACAGAGGCAATAAGTAAACAAAAAGCAGTAGCACAGGAAAAACGTGCAGTTGAACTTAATAATAACTCCTCTGCACTCACCATACTACTCCAAAATAAACTTAAACGCTCTAAATCGAGAGGGAGTATATTCATTAAAGGCAAACAAGTATACGAAGATCCCAAACTTATCACAGAATTATTCAGTGAACATTTTTGTTTCTCACTAACTAACGAAAAACCATTTAATGATTCAGAACCAATCCCAGTAACTCCCTGTGAAATTACTAATGTAGAATTCAGTGTACAAAATATCTCCAAAGCAATCAGTACATTGAAACACTCCTACACTGATGGACCAGATGGTATTCCATCTAGCATGCTAAAACGTGGAGGTGATGATATGTGTGTTTTGCTTCTCAAACTATTCGCGATATCACTCTCTTCAGCGTGTTACCCTACTGCCTGGAAAACTACACATATCATTCCCAAAATTAAAACAGGACCTGAAGCAAACGTTGAAAATTACCGGCCTATAAACATAACTTCAGTGGTATCCAGAGTGATGGAAAAAGTAGTTAAGGCGGCTGTAGTCCAACATCTATTAACTAACAATCTCTTGTCGACCTCCCAGCATGGATTTCTTAGGTCCAGATCATGCGATACATGCCTAGTAGACTACCTGAATGATATAACTCTGAAACGAGACAGCGGACTCCTTGTATCAGTCCTATTCCTAGACTTTAAGAAAGCCTTTGATAAGGTCCCACACAAAAGGCTACTCGTCAAACTAAAGTCCTTCGGAATACACAACCCACTGTACTCATGGTTTGCTTCGTTCTTAACAGAACGTAAACAGATGGTAAAGTACAATGACTGTCTCTCGTCCCCTAGACCAATCACCAGTGGAGTCATCCAGGGAAGCGTATTAGGGCCACTTTTGTTTCTTATGTATATAAACGATATATGTAACACCATAGAATTTGGGAAACCGTACTTATATGCTGATGATCTCAAAATAGTATACAGCTATAAGCCTGAGACACTAAGCGAAAGTGTATCCCAGATCCAAAAGGACCTCAATAACTTAACTATATGGAGTGAAAAATGGCAATTACCATTTAACCTCAACAAGTGCGGGATCATGCACTTTGGAAAGCATCCCTATAAACCGCGACTTCACTTAAATGAATGTATAGTCCAAACACTCGAATCAGTACACGATTTAGGAATTAATTACACAGGAAGCCTAAACTTTGAAGAACATGCCTCCTCTATTATTTCTAAATCTAGACGGCTAATTGGTTTTATAATGAAAAACTTTTTCACAACAGAGGGTAAACTTACTCTCTACAAAATATGTGTACGACCCACCCTTGAATACTGCTCTTTTGTCTTCTCTAATATGAATATCGCAGACAAGATAAGAGTAGAAGATGTTCAAAGACGTTTCACACGTCAACTACTAGGATGTAACTCGAATCTCGATTACACAGACAGATGTAAGCATCTATCTTTAGAACCTTTATGGCACCGTAGGCTAAAACACAATTTAATATTTCTCTACAAAGCGATATATGGGCTCTCCTTTCTAACCTCCTGCCCGACTATCACCCACGACCCAGCCTATAGACTTAGAAACAACGCATATACACTACTTACCGTAAAACACCAAAAACAAATGCGTTGTAAGTTCTTTACAGTACGGTACAGTTTATTGTGGAACAGGCTGCCAATGCCTATCCGTAACTGTGATACGTTTACCAGATTCAAAAAGCTAATAACCCTATTTCTAGACTCCAAAGAGCTTCAACATTACCTTGAACTCCCGCCCACCGATGAGGCACTTTATTATGGACCGCCTAGTATCTAGAAAGAACAAAATTATAACAAGTTCGACTGTTACTAATATGAATATAACCAAATCACAGGATATATGGCTTATCCTTTCCTATTATTCATTGTTTATTAATCATGACTTCATGCTCCTAACCCTAGCTTTCAGTCCCCAAATCTCTACAGGTTAAATGTACATTATTCTTCCTAAAAGTCATGCTTTTTTTTCTACTGCAAGTAGACAGATAGCTCAATCTTATGGATGCTGATCTACTAAGGCCGATCATTCAAAGCTCAAAATTTGGCCACAAAGTCTTGTGAGTTTCTCAATGTCTTATTTTTTTTACCCTAAAGTCTTTTTCTTTTTTTTTCTACAATTTTATACCCTCTCATATCTTTTGATTTACTATTAATCCTTACTTCTTTAAACCATTAGTTATTTTCATAGCAGTGTGATATACTATATGGACGTCTAACCCATAAAACAGAATTTTTAAATATCTGATTTGCTTGTAACATGGACCTAGTAGAGACAGTGTATTCCAACTATGTACTTTGATTAAAGCATTAATCATACTTACCACAAACGTAGGAGAGCCTAACATCACAAAAGGAGGGAGGGTGGCGTTACTGACCAGCAAACATGAAGGTGGGGAGATAACTTCAATCCACCCATGTCTGTAGGGCAGAACATTTTGTTTAATTACGGCTCCTTATGGTTTAGTGGGATGTCACGGACTTAAGGTATTGAAGCTGATTTATCACGCAAAATACCTCTTTAAATCGTGTTACGAACGTTGAATTGGTTTCACTTCCTACTCAGAAATCCTATTACAAGCAAACTAGACAATTCGCTAATATACGAAGCCTACTCAAGACCCTATAAAACCTTAAAAAAAAACGAAAGGGGCTCTAATAGCTTCGATAATAAAAGGAAGATAGCCAGTTGTATATCACAATACTGTTTCTAGCACTATATTTTATTTTATAATCACACATAATCTTATACTCTCAGCTCTTTTCCGAATCGCCTCCATTTGTCAGTTGTATGTCCACTCACACCTTGCTAAAGCTTATTTTCTTTAACCTATTAAAATGCTCTTTCTTAACAAATACCTTAATAAAAGAAAATTAGACTGAGTAATCATACCTTAAACATTCCTACATGAATATTGGCTACTCTGCCTCTCGTGTTTTCTTTTACTTCCTCCCTCTTTCAGCCCCTTGAGATATGGAACAGGTTACTTCATCCTGCACCATCCTTAAAGCCTTGGATATCCCAAAGGGACATAAGGTTGCGATTTCTAGAAGCTCATACCTTCAATGGACCTATTCTTGATCGTCAGTCGCACATTCGCAACGCAACTCTCGTGAAGCGCGCCAACTGTAGTACTGATTAAAACAATCTACATTCATGTCTTATAAATTTTCAACCCAGCTATGTAATTTAATACAGTGTATATTGTATCATTTGTATCAATTTGATCTTGCCTGTAAACTGGCATGCCTCATGTAACAAACTGTTATTTGAGAATAAATTATTATTATTATTATTTATAATACTGCAGCTGCATTACGTTTACTTAGAAAAATGAATACCTTAAAAAACGTCGTCTTGCATGACCCGGCTATGTGTAGCTTCTGAAGGAGGAAATGAGTGGAATGCTAGTGTCACCGCTTTGAAAATAGCACTAAACTTTTCAAAATATGTTTTTCGAGCATGAAAATGGCAAGTGATGTGATATAATCAGATCGTGTAATTTGCTCCACGTAAAGCAACGAATTTCACTCTACATTGACATTCAAATATCCCTCATGCAATTCATTATACAACGAAATCAAAACTAGCAGGGTTTCTGATCTTCTAATGATCGTCTACGATTTCCACTGGCGTCTTGACCGTGCAAAAGCACTAAGACAATGAACGAAGGAGCCGTCAAAGTAGATAATATAACAAAGACGTGAAATATGTACACAAAGATTGATTCAGTTCAATCATATGAAGATTACAGGGCGATCACAATAAAGGACGTTAGGATACGTCTCATTACCCAAAAACAATAAGTTGGGACGCGTGAAATGTAGTTAATGTAGCTCAGAAACATAGATGCAGATGGTTTACAATCGTCCATAGTATGCGAAGATAATATGAAAAGACGAGGAACTGAAAGGAAGCTTAAAAAAAGTTGGTTGCTGGCGAGTACCACATAATGTAAAATTTCTGAGTGATGATGCCTCGACAGAGAATGATACCGGATCCATCTTGAATGCAACACAAAGACGTTTCACTAATCTTCGGACCTTTTGAACAAGTGTTTTGATGTTACTTAAAAAGTGATCGTTGCTAACTGCATACATACAAACTGCTAGCCCTGGCCTAAATGGGCGATCAACTTCAATGATGCTTTTAAAATTACTGACTTTTAGTAAGGTAACAGTTTCGTCATTCAAACGGTTTTTTGATCAGTGTACCTCATAAAATATCATACAAAATGAGCAACCTACCACAGTGTAGACTGTATCTTCCATAACAATTTGATCTTGCCTGTAAATTGGCATTCCTCATGTAACAGTCTGTTATTTGAGAATAAATTACTCTTATTCTCGTTATTAATGATGTACATTATGAGCATCCGAAACTACTTGAACACCAGATATATTAACAGATACGCTATTCCAGTGGTTCTTTTCAATTCCAGTGATGGATTCAGGTGTTGCGATAGAAAACCACGAACCTTTCGATCCTATGGACAGTGGTGCAATGTTTAAGTGTTCTTCTTGTAGGAACCCGACGAGACAATAAAACTCTGGAGAATCACGTGAGAATAGTGAACGGTGCAAATCTGCAAAAACAGAGTAATCACATGAGTTGAACTCGGAAGTTGATTTCCATTCTCCAGCATGATGACAGTACGCTCCAGATGCTAAAACTGAGATTTCTGTAGACTTTTTCATAAAACGAGGCCTTAAATTTAGACATAACCACAGATAAATGACCGAAGTCACCTTATACAGTTGGCAGGCGGCGAGTCTTCATGGTCAAAAACTTCTGGTACCATGTGTACATGTCCACTTTGTAATATTAAGTCCCTTTCATTGAGAGATTTGGGAACTATGTTTCTCAGCCTGATTAGGCTTCATTTCACGTCCGTTTAGCCATCTAGTTCATAAATACTTGACGGAGAGGCCCTTAAAATATCGTGAGGTGGTAGTCAGTTGCGTAGGTTTAACAAACCGTCTTAAATCCGCTGGCACTGGATTCGCTCAAACTGTTGTGTCATCCACTCCACTCATTGTACTGCGTGCAACTTTCCACACAGTATCAACGGTCTGAGCATTGACAACTGCGTTTTTTAGACCCATATAGTAGCAAAACAAAGTCGCTAGAATAAATAAAATACATTAGTACATGAACGCAGCAGTGATAACAAAAAAAGAGTAGAAAACGGTAAAATGTTAGACATTGAAGTGTGACAAACAAAAAAGTCTCGTAGAAAAAGTGCAGATAAATTGATCCTGTAAAAATAATAATCTTCGTGTCAATTTAGCTGAAATAAATTTAATTAAAGTGAAAGCAATATTCTTAATGAGTAATAAACAATTGAAATCTATTCGTTTAACTCAGCGAGTAAATATGCCATTTTCTTTTTGAATACCGCTCATGTGGATTGTGTACGATATCGAGAGTATTTCCGAATCAATATCGTCTTACCACTCATAGCTGTTTTGTATCATTTAATATTATTGAAATCAAATATTGGAATCTTAGGGTCACCAAATTTAAGCATGATGTCCGCGCTTTTCAAACGTTGTTGTAGCGTGTTTTCGAGATCGACTGGTAGGCTGGTTTTCCTTAATATATTGAAACTCCACACTATGAAATTTCAGTGTTATGGAATGCGGGACCATTTTTAGTTCGTTATAGCGCTCCAGAACAGGATTAAATGTATTGAGATCAATAATCATTTTGTCAATATAAAACTACATTTGAGTTTATATATTGCATACTGTAGGATGTAAAATGGTCTTAGTGACATTAAGCTGGTGTCGATTTTCAAAGGCAGCTAATATTGTGGAAGTGAGAACACTGGCTTGAGTGTCGATTTTGGTCAGTAAAAAATTCGAAGAGGTATTTGTGGAATATAAACTTTGTATGAAATCCCGTTCCTACTAGTCGTGAATAAGCGACGCCTATTGGTATGTACGTCTATTTAAGAGGAAAAGAACTAATTCTGCGGCCAGTTACTTTTGAATAGTACTTCTGGAATATTACGCAGCCTGGTTTTGGAATAATTGAGAACCGTTTTTAGTATCAACTTCACACCTCACCTGGAATAACTTGTGCATTATGTCCCCTTATCCCTACTGATTTGAAACATTCAGAAAAGAGCAACGTCAATGTACAGGCTGAAAAGCTTAGCCCTGCTCAGCTGACTTAGGTTCGCCTGTTACATCCTGTCTAACATGAGGTTTAAGGGGATGTAGCTGTGGTGTATCATTTTCCCTATAGTTCTTTTCATGTGAGTAAACCACCGGTACGTTGTGGTAATAGGTCGCAGAAATGAACACGTCAACGCGTAATGAGCTCGCACGAAAATTCTTACGAACCTTTTCGCTGTTTAGATCGGTACGTTTGGAACTCTACCGAAAGCTATTGTGATAGCACCCTCTAGCATATATCTCAAAAAAAACTTGATGATCATTATAACTCTGTAGGTATTGAGATATTCGCTTTGCCTTTCAGTTTCTGGTAGGAATATAACGAAAATCATACCCCTTTAAGCGGAAACGCTCTCCTACTACTACACCATCTGCAGATCCCGCGGGACGATTCGCTCTCCAGACTATTAGGGTTCGGAGTTAAACAGTTCAATATGTGATGCTGTTTGGATGCATGTGTCCTAAAGCAGTGTTTTGACAAACGATTGACTGATTTCCATGTGCGCTAGATCATTGTTGTGACAAATAATGCTAAAACAAGGGAAGCAGTAAATAGCATAGTGTTTCAAAAGAGTCGAGAAAATCAAACACTAAAACATAGATAACAATTTTAGGCAAGAGACCTAATGTTAAATTTGATATATGGTTGAATGGATAACGTTTTAGTATTCGTTAGCCTAGGTTACACCATATATATTGTTTATTTTGGTCGAAATCACTGATTGTCCCAGTACATAAGTAAGGGCCAAAATCATCCCTTGATAGCCATAGAGAGATTAGCTTGACTAATATAGTATCTAAAATACTAACCTCAATAATTATCGGACGCTTAACAAAGACTCGTGAACTGCAAATACGAGAAAAACAGACTGACTTCAGACCTGGTCGTGGCTGCATCGACCACATAATCACTATTCGTCAGGTTCTAGAATACAGGCACACTTATCGGCGTCCGATAATGATAGATTTTGTTGACTTAAAAGCAGCATTTGACTCGGTAGATCGCGAGATTCTGTGGCAGTGTCTGTCATTGAAAAACGTACCTCAGAAGTACATAGACCTTGTGAAGGCTCTTTACTCGAACACTACCAGTCGAGTCAGAGCTTATGATGAACCGTCGTCTGATGTCGCAACTACAAGTGGTGTCCCTCCAGGCTGTCCACTATGTTCATTTTTGTTTAATTTCATCGTAGACCTACTGCTGAAAATAACGTTCTCGTCGTTTGAATTTTCAGTTATTGATCTTCTTCCAGGAGGTTCACTTAGCGACTTGGAATACACAGATATCATAATCCTGTTTGATGAAGACTAATAAAGTGCAGGGTCTTTTGTTAGTACTGAGCAACAATGCCAGGATTTTTGAGATTCGTTTCTACCTCTCCAAATGCAAATTGTTGCTTCAGGACTGGCCTGCGTCAACGCCTGAACTAAGGCTAGGGAGTGATTTTGTTTGGGATCCGGTTAAAGCGCCGGACATTCGCTTTTCGTCCTTTCATTTTCGTAAACAACACCCCCGCCACGAGAAGGCAGTGAGTAGGACTTCCCTGGCAGAGGCTGTATACGCGTGACCATGTGAGAGCATTTCGAGAGGGTGGGTGGGCCCACCCCACTCTCAGCCATACCAGGGCATTTGGGGGCAAAGCCAGTACGGCTTATGCCAGTCTGGGCCATCTTTGGCGCCTTCGTGATATTAGTCTGGCTGTAAAAGGTCGGATCTACAACGCGTTGGTGAGAGCAGTTTTGCTCTATGCCTGTGAAACCTGGCCTCTCCGAGTTGAGGACGTTAGACGACTCTCTGTGTTTGATCATCGCTGTCTCCGAAGGATTGCTGACATCCGGTGGCAACACCATGTTAGTAATGCAGAGGTTCGGCATCGTGTGCTCGGGCACAGAGATAATAATGCAATCGATGTCACCATCTTGAAACACCGACTTCGGCGGCTTGGACATGTTCTACGAATGTCGTCCCAGAGAATTCCACGTCGTGCATTATTTGCTGACTCTGGGACTGGCTGTAATAAGCGGAGAGGTGGTCAGTGCATGACATGGTGTCGTGGTATGAAAGAAAGCTGTGAAGGACTGGCTCCTGTCGGTTCTTCACGACTCCCTGGCTGGGGTTCGAGAGATGGTGCTACACTGTGGCTAGAGACGTCAGTCAGTCAGTCAACTACAACGTAGGACCAGACACATATATGCATCGGTCCAGGTTGCCATACCGCATAAGCACAGCATGATGAACACCGGATTCATAGGAGTGGTTATGTCAAAGGTGGTAATATATAAGAGAAAGATTGCATATAAGGCTACAGTACAGGAAGAAAGAATTAGTTAGTAGAAAGAAAGGTATGAAGCGATTTTAATCTCTTAGTTTAAGGGAAGACAGGGAGTGTATACACCGACGCCATTGTGATCGATTCTGAGCCATGTCATCAAGAGTCTCCAACCATTGGTTACGAAAGTTTCGCGGACCCCAACCAAGTAGTCTGCATCTACCAACATGGCTCAGACTAGAGGTTAGTGTCTTCAAACACTGATGCCACGTTTTGGTTTGGCCGCCACTAATTCTCTTCCAACCATCTCTAACACCCGTTAACATTGCACGACGTGGTAATCGGTGTTCAGGCATACGTAACACGTGGCCCAACCATCTCAGTCGATGAAGATTCACAACCTCATCAACTGATTTACCATCATTACCTAATACCCTGCGTCTAACCTCACTATTGCTTACCCGGTGATCCCAACAGACGCCAGCAATATTTCTGAGGCATCTGTGGTCAAATACTAGTAGCTTACGAGTGTCTTCTACTCTTAAAGGCCATGTTTCGCTGCCGTAAAGTAAAACAGAACGGACTGCCGCGCAGTATACTCGTCCTTTTATTGATAGACGGATATCTCGCCTTCGCCATAAGTGACGTAAGTTGGCAAAAGCCAAACGAGCTATTCGAATCCGTGCTGAGATTTCGTCCGATACCAACCCATTAGGGCTGATCAGACTTCCAAGATAAGTGAATTTGTCGACGCGTATTCTAAGTCGATGAGTGGACTTCCTGGTAGGAGATCGATACCCGAGAATTCAGTCGACGAGAATGTTATTTCCATCAGTAGGTCTGTGATGAAGTTAAACAGAAATGGAGAAAGTGGACAGCCTTGACAGACACCACTTGAGGTTGCAAAAGTAGATGACAGTTCGCCATAAGCTCTGACTCGACTGGTAGTGTTCGAGTAAAGAGCCTTCACAAGGTCTATGTACTTCTGAGGAACGCCTTTCAATGACAGACACTGCCACAGAATCTCGCGGTCTACCGAGTCAAATGCTGCTTTTAAGTCAAGAAAGGCTAGAGACGTTATCAGATATGGCTCAGAATAGAAGCCAGTGGCGATCCTGCTGTAACCTTCTTTTAATTTCTTCATAAAAAATGGTTGCTTTTTCCTTAACTGAAAGATTTTTTCTCGTTGTACCTTCCTGTTTCCTCCATTATTACTATTATAATTATTATTGCACTACCTTACACTAATCTGTTCGTTATTGTTTTTTTCTTTTACGCTCCTTACCTTTTTTCTTTCTCTTCGAATTTTCATTGTTTTGTGTGGCGCATATATATTTGTTGCCCTCTTGTACCAATATTTATGTGTTCAAATAAGTAAATAAAATAAATAACATAATCTCTCCATTTCTCGTCTCATAGTGTAATTGGATTTGGGCGATGGCGCAAAATCTTAATTGACTAAATATTCTACCTCATATACCTGCATGAACTAGATCTCAACCGTGCAATAATGCACTTTATCCACTCCCTGATATAAAATGGGGTATATCTGATTTGAATTAAATGTGGTGTAAGCTGGTCGTGCTTTATATAGACACAGACATTTTATCAGCTCGGTAAAGCCTTTAATCTTAATTATATTTATGCACCTGTACTCTTACATCTCACAGCATGCTAATTATCTTTTACTATAGGTTCCTTCCACAAACAACTGTTGAATTGGTCCTTTGTTTCAGTTGGCCTCAAGTGTATAAATAATGGATTATCTTTACCAGTTGCATCGAAAAACTGCTTTTCACCACTTGGGATGTCTCCAACCGTTAATCTAGCTACTTTGGCTCAAATGGCCATTTGTGGTCCATTTCAAAAGAAGCGTCCCCCAAATAAAGCGATGAACGCGAAGCCATTCATAAAAGGGATTGTGCTAAAAACTTTTATACGTAAACCCAAGAAACCAAATAGTGCGAACAGAAAATGTGTACGTGTCCGTTTAACTGATGGTCGTGAAATCACAGCTCATATTCCTGGTGAAGGTCATAATTTACAGGAACATAATATTATTTTAGTTCGTGGTGGTCGCACACAAGACCTTATCGGAGTGAAACATAAAGTTGTACGTGGAGTACATGACTGCGCACCTGTTCGGAAACCAGGTTCAAAATAAAACTCTGTAGTAATTTAATCCATGGAACTTCAACAGTGTTTGTAAAGATAATTCGAATTTTATATTTATGCTCTTAATTTCTCACTGTCGCGAGGTGCTTTAGCAAGTCGTTCTGTGTTGTAAAAGATCATGTTTGGAATCTTCAATTTTTGACCCTGGATATATTTTTTAAAAATTTGAACCTTAGTTTTGCAATGGTGGAAGACTTGTAGCTCTGAGTAAGGGTAACAGCTACTTAGCATTCTTCACGCCTTGGTATTTGTAGATTAATACCGTCGAAGCTGTTTAGCCTGTTGAAAACCTATATTCAGATGGCAAAAATCGGAAGAATTCAAGAAATCCTCACCATTCTTCGAGACATGTTTATTCTGTTCGGAAGTAGTCATTCAATTTTCATCACTATTTATTTTACTTGTTTTTTAATTCAACTCAGTACTAAGTGTAGATATCTTATTCTAATAACGCAATGCTATAATTGTTAGACCTTGAGCATTTTTTGTCTTTCATTTCTATTAATCTTTCGTGGTCTGGGGAAAGCGTATTGTATTTAGATAGTGTATTTGTAACTAACCTTTTTAGTCCGCAGCAATTCACAGTATTCGGTGATCGGTTATCATGGTTCAATATGTGGGCCGGTAGAATACATGCTTCTCAACTTAGTTATGTTAAAATTCTCAAATCTTCCCAATATTTTTTTTGAAAATTTAGAAAGGCTGAACTACTGTTTGACTCTCTAATGGGTTTATTGACTATAACTCAAATAATGACAAGGATGAGTCTTATCGAATGGTCTTGTAGTTACTTCATTGCAAAGCTACGTTAAACTGCCTGTTTGTAAAGTGATAATTATACTATGTATTGATGCATATAAGCTTTACTGTATGCACGTGAAGTATATGTTGTAATCAGAAAGCAACATAGTTATGAATGTTCCAACTCTGACTTTGAAGCACCTTTCACATGTGGATGTGAACGTCATTAGATGTTAGACTGGTCGTTCGGAGTGTTCTAGGTAGAACTAAACCACTGGAGAACTAACTATTGTGTAGGGCAAGTCAATAGTATTTAAAAATTTAGTAGTCTTACAGTGAAACTTTTGTACTGCTACTGATATTGCTATTTGTTATGACTGCGGAACAAACTTCCATTTGGTATTCGTTACTTCATAACAGGACGGGTATGTCTCAATTAAGGAAAAAAGCAGGACTATAAATGAAGAATTATTTGTACATCAATTACTGGTTCCACCACTGACTTTCATCTGATCAAACTGACATCAAAAATTAAGAGGAAATTTGCAGCGTTTTTAAGTATCTGATCAATGGTTAAATTTGACCTCATTGAACTGGAAGTGATTGACACTGATTGACAAATAACTTAATGCATGTATATAATTTGCCAAATCAACAACTGATTTGACTAAAAAATGTAACTGAGTTTCATTTTTACTTTTTCCTGCCAGAAATTACCAAATAATAAGATTGGTTTTGAACAATAATCTGTTTGAGTTATTTTCTTTTATTTATTTATTTATTTGAACACAAATATTGATGCAAAGGGGCACCGAATACATATACACCACACAAGACACTTGATTTGTGTGTGGGCTGTGATACTGCCCGGGTGCCTAAACCGAAGCAGGTGATTTTCTTAGGGGGTCAGACCCGGAGCCTTCTACCTTAAGGTCTGATCCACAAGGCCGTGGAGCAACGTCAGGAGATGCAGTCCCATGATAGCCGGTGACCAACAATTGGTACATACGCCATTTGTTCCTTCAGTATATTGGAGCCCACGTGGATCATTTCATTTTGGATCAGGGTTTTCCAACTCCCCTAGGTGGACTCATCGTTTCCGCCAAGCTAGTTAAAGCGCTGGACATTCGGTTTTCATCCTCTCAATTTTGCAGACAACACCGGTGCCGCGAGAAAGCAGTGTGTAGGACTTTCCTGACATTGGCTGTATATGTGTAGCCATGTGAAAGTATTTCGAGAGGAAGAGCTAACTCTCTCCACCCTCATCCGTACCATAGCATTTGGTGGCAAGATCTTATTAGGAAAATGTCCAAATACTTATTTCGCTTCTAAATTACTTAATTAATTCCTATATATTTATATCGATGGTCAGATTTTGCAGCAACCGGCCTATAAATGGTTCATTGTTGCTTACCGAACATTATTATTTATCAGGTCATTTGTAAACATGGGGATTACTTTTTATACAGGTTGAAAACTAAATAATTGATGAGGAGCAATGCCGACTTGGATCACTATTTCGAGGATTAGATAACTATCAACAACTAAATGCATAAGGATAATATTAATAAAATTTGTTTAGCCTCAGTTATTGTAATCTCATCGACTACTTGACCGTGACTGTCAGAACATGTCGCCAACAAAAAGGAATTGCAATTGCAATAGACCAAAAGTAAAAGTTGTGATAGGATTTGTTTCGTACACGTCAGTTACTAGTATTTTCTTTATTTAAAAATGGAGTTTATTATGGAAGACATCCATTTTGTCTGAAAATGACCGGTGATATTAGCGGTGTAAGCTTTTATTTGGCTAAACTTAATTACCCATATTTGTTAAAATGACCTGATCAGTATTATAAAGGTCAGTGGTAAAATAGAGAAATAGTGTTAAAAAACTACTAGGTAATTTGGATTCAGTGAAGAATCTTAACCTATCATGAGCTTTTGGGATAGTTAACAAATTGAGTACACTTTTTAAAAGCAGTGATTTTAAACATGCTTTTTAGTAGAAAACTTTGAACTTACCAACTTGTTTTTTCATCTGAGTGTATTTTCATCCCACTTTATTGTATTTCTTATTATGCTTTCGTCAGGATAAACTTTTGATTGATATCCATTTGATAAGATCTTTGTAATGAACTTACTGTAACTTCATCACTTTCCCACACTATTATTTATATATTTTGTTCTGCTTACCTGTACACTCGTTTTTACTACTTGATTTTTTAATTGTAACTAATTGTCAACAATAAATGTCTGAAAACAAAACAATTATCTTTTCCTACTTTTTATTTACTTTCCATACTTCATACTGCTATTATTCTATTTTAGAGAGAGAATTCTTCAAATGTCAGGTGCTGTTAAGGTGATTCCAGATGATGAGTCTCAGCGAGAAAATTGCACAACGTCATCTGAACCAGTTTCGTTTGGGGAAAAGTCTGAGAGTAGTTACTCTTCATGTGTTCCACAGCCTGTTCCACCGAAACTTCCTGTTAATAAGTTGTATGGAATTCGAGCTATAATTGGAATCTGTCTATTGTTGTTTTCTGCGTACATTGGCTCTATCTTCTTTTTGGCTCCATTACTACCGTTGGCTGTTCTGTCGCCTTTTGTATTTCGCTATTTTAGTGACTTTCTCTTAACATCGTGGCTGATGTTTGCTGAAGTAAGTATATATGTAGATATAGTTTGATGACTAAAAGATGAGATAATTGCAGTACAAATTATTGCTCAGATAAAACATTTTATTTTTCAAGTATAATAACAACAGAATACTTTAGATTCAAACATGCTATCACAGATGTCATTAGGTGTGAATAAAGCAATTAGGCATCACATCAAAACACAGTTAATTTCCCTCCGAATTGGCCGTGAAGCGTAACAAATTAATAGTCATCCTTAATGTGAAACGAAGTAATCCTACATTCTACAATTCAAATAACTTTTTGTTAATCCCTAATTCTATACGCTCTATTGTTTTTGTTTTCCCAGTATAAACTAGTTATCAAGAGTAAATAATTTTTTTAATCAATTTACTTAAATGATTAATTCTATGAATGTTCTTGAGTCATTCGAATTGTTTCATTTGCAATTCTGATTTCTAATCAACACAAATTCTTGTGAAAAAGCTTATCATGTGTGTATCAGCTGATCTTTCTATCAAAAGAATTAGATTGACAAATGCTGTTTGTTTGTTGTTTTTTTTTTTGTCGAAAAAAGCTAGTAGATTTTGTTCAACCACAAACAACTTATAAATAACAAAAATTTATACTCAACAGAAGACAAGTAAGGCGAATGTAACTTCAATTTGATTATACAAAAACATTGTTGATTTTTATTGGAATCACAAACCGATCTAAGTTAGAAAACTATTGAGAGCTTTTAAACACTGGACAGCTGTTTCGTCTTAGTACGAGACTTCTGAATGATGTACATCCACTACCTCTCAACGGAGGATCGAACCCACAGCCTTCGGTCTCACGCACGAACAGTAGACCACTGAGCCGGCATCTAGTCGCGTACAAGTCTAACTTCAATCAATCCACTATATTGCACAACTATTTTCCTATTGTCTTTGTTAGGTACTTTCCTCATACCTGATATGGTTGAATTCCACTGGTCACGGCTTCTGACTAGAACTCCAGAAATCTCCTCTCGTGGATTGATTAAAGTTAGACTTGTACTCGATTAGATACCGGCTCAGTGGTCTACAGGTCAACTGTTAGTGCTTGCAATAGAAGGCTGTGGGTTTGATCCCTGGTTGTGGGGTATTGGATACAAACCACTCAGGAGTCTCGTACTAAGACGAAATAGCTGTCCAGTGTTTACAAGCTTTCGATGATTGTCTAATTTATATTGGTTTGTGATTTAAATGAAATTTAGCAATCTCCACAATCCTATACTAGGAATAAAATTGTCGTTGGCGTACTTATATTCATCCATACAAATCATCAGTATTTTTGTTTCCTGAATTCTGATTTATTAGCATCCGTCCGTTTATTAATTTTACCGATTGTTTGATTTTGCACATATTCCGCATTAACTGTCTTATATTTAACTAAGAAGAAATCATATACTGTATCACAAACCCACTGTAATTCTTCCATTGTAATTGACCGCTTGAATTAAGCGAGACTAATTTTTTAGAATTGGTCAGTTGAAACCTTGATTCCCTATTGGTATCGTTTATCCGTCTATTTCACTCGGTATAAATGACTTCCGATTTATTGTATAATCATGTATATGGTTTTTGAACTATAAGTCCGACTCAAACATTATATTCATTGGATTCAATCATGTATTCGCCATTCTTATTGCACTCCTAAATCTAACTTGTCATGTTAATGTTGACCACAGTCTGTTCTGTAATTGTTTTAGCTCAGTTCTTTTTAAAGCTGAATTGGTTTGTGGATTTCCTACTCATTCTGTGTACATGTTACCCACTGGTGTTTGTACAGTCAGTCACTATCATCACCCCCCTCTATTCCATGTAACTCATATCTCAGTGTGTAAACCTATATGTAGCTGATAGTCATCAGAGATGATTGTTTGAAATGGTTAGTTGTTAGTATCTCGATATTATTAATCTTTATTTTTACGTCGTATTCAGGTTGTAGATTAAAAACATGTCTCACTGTTTCATCTAACTGTCTATTCTTAAAATTTGTCGTAAGTAATAGGGAAGCCGTTGATTTGTAATCTGTATATATTGGTCAAATATCCCGGATGAAGATTTATCGCACTGCAGAAATGTTTATTTTTCCTACAACTTATTATTTAGCTTATGGAATTCAATGATTACTATACTTATGCACTATAACAGTTCAGAATATGATGTCAAATATAAGCCAAAGTAACTCCAACATCTTCATTGAATACCATTCAAAGTTGTGTGTATAATCAAACCAATGTATTATTTCGATAATGATATTAGAAGACGAAGATTATCAGATCTATGTGATATATTAGCGCAATACATTTCGAACAATCTGGTCACACATATACTTGTTAAGAGCATTTATATATATGTATATGTATATGTGTGACCAGATTGTTCGAAATGTATTGCGCTAATATATCACATAGATCTGATAATCTTCGTCTTCTAGTATCATTATCGAAATTTATCAAAGGGACTAATTGTTTTAATGTATTATCGTTTTTAGTTTGTAATACTCAAAATTCTTGGTTGTCGTATCCGTCATTTTGGTGACCGAGTTATACCATCCACCACTACTGAGCCTCATAGCTGTCTCTTTCTGATCAATCACCGGACGCAATTAGATTGGTTCTTCGTGTGGGGCTTAGGTGATCCAATTCAGCGTATGAAAATAATTCTTAAGGATTCTCTTGCGAAAGTTCCAGGTGCTGGTTGGGCAATGCAATGTGGTAGCTTTATATTCCTACGCCGGCGTATTGCAACAGATCAACAGCGATTACAAAAAATTGTAGAATATTTACTCAAAGTTAAACAGAGTTGTCAAGTACGTAGTGTTTATTTTGAGTATGTACTTTATTGTGTCTGCATACTTTTACTGCTATTCCTATAGGTCCTGGAGCTGGAACCTTGTCGGGGTCGTGGATATGAAGTCTTACAATTCCCATACTTCAGTAAAGCAGTGTTTCATGGTTCTTTAATTTTCATTGGTTGTCTAACTAAGGTCAACTCGTTTAACCACGAGGATTACGAAACAAACCCATTGTCATCATGTTGTCGAATCCACACAATGGACCAAATTTGACTGTGAATCGGTTCGTCAGTAATACAACTTATTAACTATTTTCAGTTGACAAAGTTGTAAAACCTAACGAAAACTATTTTGAAGTGTTAAGGTGGATCGTAAAACAAGTGTGGTAGAAGAGTAGCAATACTTATTATTTCACACAGTGTCTCATGCAGGCCAAAGTTTCTTGCTCCATGTGTGACTAAAAATGTGGTAGACTCTACTCACAGGTTTGTAAGTAGTATGTAGCGGAGCGTGGCCTCGAAGCTGTCGCAGTCGTCAGCCAGAGAGAAGAGTCTCAGTACATCAAAAGCACGGCGTAGTCAGAACACTTGAAGACTAGATGAGAAGGCAGTTCTGATTTCACACAAGATGCTAATGAATGATTGAAGGCTATATGTACGTATTATATAAATACTGTAATTTCTCACAATAATTATCAGTTCATTCCGTCTGCTCATTGTCTTCTTCCACAAAAAATTATCTGTTTATTTTCCTATGGAATGAATATTTTTACTGTTTCATTAAAAATTGTTAACAATACACTATGGAAAAAGTCGATTACTTAAACCATGTCACCAAGTTTATGCGCTAAATAAACACATCTTGCGTAAGTTACATATGTTCAGTATGCTGAACTCAATGAATCTAACACAAAGTCAACTACTAAATAAGCATGTGATCAGATAGAAATCACTAAATAGTGTTATAGTTTATCATTTTGTTTACATTTTTGTCCTGAGTTTAAATTAGTCAATGGGTAATGATGGATATTGTTTAACTAAAATATCAAGTCTTGACTATATTCACCTCAGCGTTTCATATGATGCTACCTATTTATGAACATAGAAAATTGACCGTGTTTGTACCACTTAAGTGAACTAGAATAATACAGTTAAAAACATTGATCGGTAAAGCCTGCTCTCAAATTTTAATGTTCACTGTAAAAATCAGTTTGTATTTTAATGTTACTGCCTATGAAAATTCAATTAACGTAGCCCAGAGAAAGATAAAGATGTGATACGGCTCGGTTTTTCATATTAAATCGTTTTTTGTTTCTTACAGGATTACTGTACGATCATCTGTTTAAACGTTTATTCTACTAGAGAGTGAGGTAATATCAGATTAATTTCCACGATATTCAGTGATCAATGAGTGCCCATTCGTTCCTTAAAGGTCCTAGAGCTGTAAACATTCGATCTGCACTATATAAGGACTTGACAGACATGACATTGATCACCACCCATTGATCAATCAATTGTGATTACATCTCAGTCCCGGATAGCTCAGTGTTACCGTATCTGACTGTGAAGCTGGGTGACACGGGATCGGATCCGTCAGGGAGCACCAGTTCCCTCAAAATTACAAGTACACCTTACTGACGAGTGCCAAGTTGCACGAAACCCGGGTCCAGGGTTTCCTGTCGACTACCTCCAGCTACCATCTAATTACAGTGAAAATGTACATCTTCATCTACAACCCCCTGTTTTTCATAGTTGAGTAAATTGTAACTACACAACTGTATTACTATATATACATATATGAAGTAACTGAAGTGACAATAAGTATATTTGTACACTGTCCATACTTAGGTATGGTTGACTGAATAAATCCTTCCAGTTAAGTTAATACTAGTGGATAGAATAAACGAAATATGTCACTAAATAAACTAGTAAAGGCTAACACCAAGTGTAAATAATTATCTCTGATTGTGGTGTGATATGCCAAACAGTAGACAAATGAAGGTCATTTGAAGTAGGGATGTCGGAACATGGTCAAGGACAATATTAGTTAAAAATAAAGTTAGTAATGTTAATTTCACCACAAGCTAGCTAATCTGTGTTACCGAATCAATGAAAGTTAGAGAACAATGAACAACTGTTTTCTTGTTGCTGTAGGACTCGTAAGCTGTCATCAATCAATAGTAAAAATTACTTTAAACTACACAAAACCTTTAGAAAATGTACGAAATGTATCCGAATAGGATTAGATTGAGAAAAATGACTGTAATAAAACAGTTTTTATACTCACTACCATCTTTATACCCCATAGTTCCCTTCATACTTCTCAACATTTTATCTCTTTGATGTTCTGTATTTTTTCTCTTGCTAACTATCATGTTTCATTCAAATTCCATTCCTCTTATTATTGTTTTAGCTCATAGGCTACTCTCATTCACAGTAACTTTCATTCATTTACTTTTAAAAAAAAACCACGATATCGTCCTTCACTTTGTAACTATATCTTTGAACTCTAGTCTCTTTTCTTCCTTTCTCATCGATCTAATGAATAATCTACTTATCATATTCAGTAGCACCATCATTTATTTTGACCGTAGCTTACTTATAAGTTCCAAAAATCTTCATTCAGCAACTTTTACTTTAATTATGTAACAAAACCAACTGTTGTGATATATTTAGCCTTTTGGGGATTTTCGATACTATACGTCGGTATTTCATGTTTCCGATTGTCAAACTGTGTAGAGCAATTGAATTCTTAGGTCATATTCAAATATCGCGCGGAAAAATCCTACTCGATGAGTAACAGTAATATGTTAACATATATCCTGGCTGACGAATCTTAATCAGGACAAAACTCATGTCCTAGATTTGATTGCTAGCTATAATCCAGCTTTTCTGAAAATTAATAAGTCATTCCACTAATAAAGGGCATCGATAACAAAGACAGTCATTTGTCGTACAATCCCATTCTTCAGGTTCTCGTTATAGTGAGTAACTTCAAAATTATTCTCGAGTTTCCAATGCGAAGCTATAATCACAAGTGTTGGGTTCAATACGTGGCTGCGTCCACACTACTGAAAAATCTCAAACTGGGACAAAACAGATATCTATTTCTTGATGGCTTTTATTGGTTATTTAGGTAAATCGGTGTGTGGCACAGACATATGTATAGTGTTTTGTCCGGTGTTTTTTTACCTATGAAGGAATTCACTAATCATGAAGTTACTTTTCTCTTTCTGCATATTGTTATTATTGTAATCTTACTGTAAAAAGTCAGCTTGTTCATTCAATTCTTTTCTATTGACTAGTTGTTTCGCTTGTTGTTTCTTCTAGTTGTTAATCTTTCCTGAGGGCACAAATTTGAGCAGTACTTCGTTGGAAAGAAGTGACAGTTACGCGAAGCAAAATAACTTACCATGTGTTCGTTATACACTTCATCCTAGAAGTACTGGATTCTTGCATTTAGTGAAATTGATTGGCTTAGGTTAGTTTGTTAATATCGTATTTTTTTTCGAATAAACAAATAAACGAATGATTTGGTTGAAGAGGTTTTTTGGAGTCTAGTTTAATTTGTAGGTTGTATTCGTCTCAGATCGATCTCACTTGCCGTACAATGGAAAACCAGGGTGCACCGTACAGCTACTTCGTTCTAATAGTGTGCAATCCACGAAAATAGGACCTTCAGGACTCGAGATAGGGTGCTTGAACATTAGATTGGTATCTAGTTGAATAATAATTTTAATTTGCCTTCGGTCCTGCTACATTGAATACGAGTTATTTTAGAAAGGCTAGTTTCATGTTAAGGATGACATGTTGAATATATTGTTCACTTAGCTGTAAGTTGACGATGAGTGGATAGATATTAGGTATTTCAAATCAAATGTTTAACATGACTTAGTCATAGTTTGACAATCAATCAGTTTAACATGTGAATCTATTGAGCATTGAAATAGGAATGTAATATACATGGTATATTTGCTAACAACGTTTTATTGTACTTAAAGTTGTATGATTCATTTTTTGTATTTGTTTCGTTTCACTCAAAGCGAATGATTTTGTACAGTCACATCTATTCGAATGTAAATAAATACTTTGTCTCTTTATCTATTTTGTATATTTTTTCAAGGTTAAAAAGCGTAGGCTTCACGTGGTATTTTTCTACCAGTTTTTTAAGATTCTGTGGCTATAGTTATATGATCAAATTAATTGGTTTTTGAGTATTTCAAGTCAACTTGATGGTGTAAGGTAAGGTAAGGTCTCAACAAGTGTGTAGCTAACACAAAAATTACCCATAAAAAGGTCGTGTGTGACCGACTTCATGCAGTTGTCCCTTGGGCACTGCGGTCACGCTCCCAGGTCACTAAGACCACCTCTAATCCAATTTCCTTTTCAGGTACCTCCAGAACAACCCTTCCACGGTGTGGACAACTGGAAAGTGATAACCGCCCTCATACCTCTAACAGCACTCAAGACCACTGTATTCATAATCAACCTCCCTCTTCAATTCCTATTATTCCTCCTTCATCGACTTTCAACACTAGACGTCCTCTTTCGGCTTCCCCCTCAAGTCTCACCACAGTCAATGATTCTAGTGCGCAAAACACTGTCCAGGTCTACTGAAACCTCGCTCCAAACTACACATTGGAGCCTTCAACGTACGCACCCTATGTCAAATCGGTCAATAGGCTTCCTTGGCTAGAACCCTAGAATCTCGTACCATTGATGTATGCTGTCTCTGAAACACGCATACAGGATCCCAGTGTGGTCATTCACTTGACCTCACCTCGCCAAAACGGAGAGCCAACTAGATACACCCTCCGTGTATCTGGTGACCCGACGGCCAATTCTCGTGGACTGGCAGGAGTAGGGATAGCACTAAGCATGAAGGCGGAACAAGCACTGTTAGAGTGGATCCCCGTTAACAGTCGTTTATGTGTTGTCCGGCTAAACGGCTCCGTAAGAACTCGGAAGGATAGGAACACACGTCGTTACCTTTTTGTCATTTCTGCCTACGCTCCCACCGACTGCAGCTCAGATGATGTGAAAGATGAATTTTACAGAAAGCTATCTGAACTTCTTCAGAAAGCTAAACGTTCAGACATAGTACTCGTAGCAGGTGACTTTAATGCCCAGATAGGTAGTTTAAACCAAACATAAAGGCTTTGGTGGCCCGTAGTCCTGCCGTCGTTTAGATCGAACGGGCTCACCATTTTTGTGGAGGCCCGTAGTTTGATTTTGTCCTCATTTAGATCGACGATATTCGTTGAAGAGCTTACCATTTTTGTGGCCCGTGGATCGGATTCCTATTTAGATCATATGAATGTTTGCTATCGCCTATTCTCGTATATCATCGTCGACTTGAATCGCGTTAGTCAATAACCGAATTAAATAAGTCGAATAACGAGAATTGATTTGTGAATACATATATTTTGTACATGAAGCGAATGAAACATAGCAAAGCAAAATGACACGTATAGAAGATGGCTGGGAAGCCAACTCCATTTTAGCCAAGCGTTACTCAATATTTATAGTCAGACAAAATAAAGCTACAGACATGTGATTGATAGAATAAGAAGGGCACACACATATACACTCATATAAAAACAGTCAAGACTGATAAGCAAATAATTGACAAGGTCAACATATGACTCAAGTAGAATGAATAAAATGGAATGTCCGAAAGCTAGAATAAGATACATGGGCTTAAAATAATGACTGACACTACAAGGCATTTAGGTGGGTATTTTAGTATACCGGCACAGCGAACAGATAATGGTGATCGTCTGCTGCAACTATGCTCAGACAATCGTTTATTTTTAGCAAACACAAATTTTAAGCATAAGGAGAGACATCGTCTGACATGGCGACCCCCTACAACAAACCAACGATGGACTCAAATAGACCATATTGCCATCCGTCATCGTTGGAGAGGGTCGGTAGAAGATTGTCACTCATTCTGGAGTACCTGCTTGGACTCCGACCACGCCCTAATACAGGCACGCATCTGCTTGCGTCTCACTGGACGCAAAAAAGCCTCAGTTAAAAGACCCATTAGAACTGAGCTGAGTAACGAGAAAACCAAAAGTAGGTTCCAGGAACAACTGAGGTCACAATTAGGTAGTTCTGAAAACGAGGTTGACCCAGATGTTACTTGGAAAGCTATACAAACAGCTGTGGAAACAGCAGTGACATCTGTCAGTGATTTAAACCACAGGGTTACAAAGAACCAATGGGTTTCTTCAAGGTCTATTGCACTGATGGATTCTCGTAAACTCATCCCATCAGGCTCTGAACACGATGAAGAGCGACAACAAATCAGATCTAGGTTAAGTAACATTCTAAGGAACAACCATGAGCAGTGGTGGGCAACGAAAGCAAACGAGATGGAAAAGGCGGCGGCTATAGGGAACACAAGACAGCTGTACAGACTAATAAAAGGAACTGGAATTAATAAGTCAAGTGTAAGTCAGACTATTTCGGAAAAAGACGACACCCTCATCTGCTCTCAGTCCAGACGTTTAGAACGATGGGCGGAACATTTCAGAGAACAGTTCAGCTGGCCTTCAGCTACTCTACAACTACCCACCATTCCCATACAGTGTGAATGGAACATTGAAGTAGATCCCCCAACTCTAGCTGAAGTTCAAAAGACTATAGTTAATCTGAAACGAGGAAGGGCAGCTGGTCCAGATGGATTGGCTCCAGAGGTCTTTAAGGATGGCGGTCCAATTTTAGCGACTAGGTTGACTAATATTTTAGCTAAGATTTGGGAGTTAGACTAATATAGCATCTAAAATACTAACCTCAATAATTATCGGACGCTTAACAAAGACTCGTGAACTGCAAATACGAGAAAAACAGACTGACTTCAGACCTGGTCGTGGCTGCATCGACCACATAATCACTATTCGTCAGGTTCTAGAACACAGGGATGCTTATCGGCGTCCGACAATGATAGATTTTGTTGACTTAAAAGCGGCATTTGACTCGGTAGACCGCGAGATTCTGTGGCAGTGTCTGTCATTGAAAAACGTACCTCAGAAGTACATAGACCTTGTGAAGGCTCTTTACTCGAACACTACCAGTCGAGTCAGAGCTTATGATGAACCGTCGTCTGATGTCGCAACTACAAGTGGTGTCCCTCCAGGCTGTCCACTATGTTCATTTTTGTTTAATTTCATCGTAGACCTACTGCTGAAAATAACGTTCTCGTCGTTTGAATTTTCAGTTATTGATCTTCTTCCAGGAGGTTCACTTAGCGACTTGGAATACACAGATATCATAATCCTGTTTGATGAAGACTAATAAAGTGCAGGGTCTTTTGTTAGTACTGAGCAACAATGCCAGGATTTTTGAGATTCGTTTCTACCTCTCCAAATGCAAATTGTTGCTTCAGGACTGGCCTGCGTCAACACCTGAACTAAGGATAGGGAGTGACAATTTCACTTATCTTGGAAGTCTGATCAGCCCTAATGGGTTGGTGTCTTACGAAATCTCAGCACAGATTCGAAAAGCTCGCTTGGCTTTTGCCAACTTACGTCACTTATGGCGAAGGCGAGATATCCGTCTATCAATAAAAGGACGAGTATACTGCGCGGCAGTCCGTTCTGTTCTAATTTACGGCAGCGAAACATGGCCATTAGGAGTAGAAGATACTCGTAAGCTACTAGTATTTGATCACAGATATCTTACAAATATTGCTGGCGTCTTCTGGGATCACCGGGTAAGTAATAGTGAGGTTAGACGCAGGGTATTTGGGAATGATGGTAATTCGGTTGATGAGGTTGTGAATCTTCATCGACTGAGATGTTTGGGCTACGTGGTACATATGCCTGAACACTGATTACCACAGCGTACAATACTGACTAGTGTTGGAGACCGATAGATGAGAGTTAGGGGCTGCCAAACCAAAACGTGGCATCAGTGTTTGAAGACACTAACCTCTAGTCTGAGCCATGTTGGTAGATGCAGACTACTTGGTTGGGGTCCGCAAAACTTTCGTAACCGATGGTTGGAAACTCTGGGTGACATGGCTTAGAATCGATCACAATGGCGCAGGTGTATACACTCTGTCTTCCCTTAAAGTAAGAGATTAAAATCACTTCATTTCTTTCTTTCTACGAACTAATTCTTTCTTCCTCTACTTTATCCTTATATGCAATCTTTTATATACTACTGCTATTGAAGTAACTATTTTATGAATTTGGTGTTCATCATATTGTGCTAATGACGTATGGCAACTTCGACGATGCATATATGTGTCTGGTCCTGCGTTGTAGCTGACTGACTGACTGACCTATTTGGGAATTGTCATCTAGATGTACCTGGACCGCAATATTGATATTCTCATAAAGATTTAAAAAGATTTGTAGCTCAGGTGAATGATTTGGGTAGAGTTTTGTTCTTTGAGCTGAATAGTTCGGTCGTGGAGGTTTCGTCGTTCTCATGAACAACATCATCAGCACAAATTTCAAATAGAAGTAAAGTGTCCGAACTCCTCTTGATTGATTATTGTTGACGTTTAACTTGTCATTGTTTACTTTTTTATTTTGATTGACTTTCCCATTAATTTGATTCTTGGTCCTGTATTTGTCCATGATTTTTCTAATTGGTTGATTGATTGGATTGCTTTCAATGTGTATGTTGATTGCTGATTGACTTGAGTGCCAAGCTTTTAAAATTCTCTGGTGCTAATATTATTCCCTTGATTAAAGATCTCAACATATTTCTAGTCGAATGTGTGTCCGCAATTATTCACATGCATTTATACAAACAAGGATATTTCATGGCGTTTCACCGCTAATTGATGTTCATGTAGGCGAAAATGAAGATAGTATCCACTTTGTCTAATATAATGTTTTTCGCAGTTTTCACAATTTATTTCGTAGATGATGTTCAGTTTTTCTGTTTTGTCATTTCACCATTTCTAGGACCGATAGTTGTAAAGCCTTACTGCCTAGGATTTACTTTAGGATGAAACTGTCCTCCAGTGCTTCTATCAAACATGGTCTAGCTAAAAATCAGTTTTTTTTTTAAATTTAAATTGTAAAAGCAGTAATAATGATCATTTAAAGAAATGATTATATATATGCGATTGTACAACATTGAAAATGAATGAATCAAAAAGAGATCTCTCTACTGAACCAATCCTTTTTAATTTTATCTCCATTGATGTATATTTCGTTTATAATTACTTTTATCTAAACTGTTTTTTTATCTAATAAATTTTCCAAAGATGATACTAATTAGAACGAATAGTTTGACAAAAATTGGGCGCCGAGTATAGAGAAGTCATTATATGTGAAAATTATTATTTGAAATAATCTCAACGACTGGTGATTTTGATTATTATCCTGAAGAAGTCTAGACAAATTAGCTAGACGAAACGTTGGACTTATTTTAAATTTCAATCACTGAGATTATTTCAAATAATAAGTTTCACATATAATGGTACTGATTAGTTTAGGTCTTTGTTATTTTGTTTTGTACTTACAAATGATTTTTGCGTAAAAATATTATTGTGTTTTTCACTTTTTTTTTTACCAAATCATGTAAATTAAGTGATGCAACATAAACTAAACTCGTGAATTAAGTGAATATTTTAAGATTAATTAAGTTTTTTTAATTAAAGTTTTTCATTATAACAGTAATAATAAAGTAATTTTTTTTAAAATTAACATGATGTGGTGATATATTCTGTCGAAGAGGATGATACAAATGTTATTTACATTGAATAAATAACGTATCATTTTTATAAATTATTATGTCACATGTACTTGAAACATTGTCTATTCTATTGAATTAGAATTCACCATGGTTACACATTATGATTGAAAGTTTGATTTAATGATACGTTCGCTAAAATTAATTAATAGAATATAGATATGACACTAGTAAACACTTTATCTAGCTAAATTAATTTTTTATTTATTGTTATATTACATATTTATATCTCTGAATGTATATATAGCCACCTGCTTCGGTTTGGGCACCCAAGCAGTATCATAGCCCTCGCACATATCGAATGAGATTTGTGTGGCGCATATGTATTTGATGCCTCCTTGTACCAATATCTATGTGTTAAAATAATAAAAAAATGTATATATAAAATGATTTATCGAAGAGAACCCGAGAATATGTGTTTTTCTTCACAATGATTATCAACTATTTATTTGCATAGTATTATGTAGGAATTTACCGAAAAAAAATCTTCGCCAAATCCATCGTTCTTGTTTTATACTTCAATGGATGCTATCTGTTTTATTTTTTAAACATATATCCTATTGTAGCAGGGACATTTTGTTTAGAATATGGTGTTCAATTTAGTGATAAGAAATTTCTATCGTTCGAGTAATTATCTTGTCGATATCCATTTATAAATAATAATATTACAATACGTAACACTCAGTGTAAATATTCTTTCGCAATGGCTCAGGTGCATTTACTATTTGTCTTCCCATACATCCTAGTTTCCTAAATCACACCATAAGAATGGTTTTTGATTCAGTTAGTTCGCATTATCTTCATGGACCATGTATTCGGTGTCTAATGTTTTCTAATTCAATGGGGTTTTGTTCTCTGAGCAGGATGGTTTGGTCGTGGGGCCTTTATCGTTCTTCTAAACGTCATCAGCGCAAACTTTAGGTAGAAGTTTAAGGCTCCACGACCAAACCATCCACCTCAGAGAACAAAACCACCAAAATCATCCACATGAGTTATAAATTTTATCCACTACCTTCACTATTCCCACTAATGTTGTTACTACCTTTACTATACCTGCATTTTCCCTGGTAGTTTCGTTTCTATGCTAAATGGGGTGTGCTAGGTTCTTTGCATATGACTGACTGAATATAATTTAATAATAATAATAACCAGGATAATAGTTTTGTTCACTACTAGAAATTTCGATGCAGTAAGGAATTCTCGGCTTCAGTTGTGCAGCATTGTAATAAGTTTCTTTTAACACATTCACATTTCAACTATCAAGAAATTACATTTTATAGATTTTTTTCAAATAGCATCTTTTATTTATCCGTAATGGGTGAAGGTTTACTATTTCACTTCTTTTAGTAAAACTATCTTAATCAGATATTGAATGTGTAGGTTGCAGTATATTCATCTGTCTTATTTTCTCAAATGGTTGACAAGAAGGACAATATGTTAATAGGCGCAGTGTTTCAATTTGAGATTTCTAGTATTAAGCATCGCGTTGGTCTTGCATAATACCGCATGAATACACGCAGATAAGGTTCATAATTATTTGATTGGAACAGTATTTGTACAGTTATAAAATAAGTGGCCCAAACATTTGAACAACTTGCCATAAAAATTCAAGCTATGCGGTTTTTCGTATAAGGATTAGTGATACTGCTATATCGCGGAAATGGAAGTGGGTTAAAGGCAGTTAAAGACGAAATTCTTATCTACTTAGTAATTTTCACAAATTTAACTTATGTATATAATTATAATAATACGCTTATTATATCGATTCAATAGTTTTAATGTACACTTTTAAAGCAAATTGTGTAGGTCATTATGGAACAACAAATAATATGATTGTCATTACTATATAGAATCAATGGGATCTAGCTAGTTATGGAATCCAGAACACGCGTTTCGTCCTACCTAGGACTCGTCAGTTATAGTTGATGTCCACTCCGGAATTTAAATTGAGTACCTTCCAGCTTAAACACCAACGCGTTATTCATTTAGCTGTAGAGTCCAGACATCCGCTCAATTGTACCACGGGTATATTTTGCCATTTAATTTGTAATGATTTGAATATCCCGCTGTTTAGATTTCAGTCAAAATATCAATGACAAGATAATCCCCAGACCATTATAACATTCATTATTATTATTATTCAATGCTAGTGATAAATAATAATTTTCTTTAATCATGTTCTACTTCTAGTTACATACACCTTATATTTACTTCTCTTATCGTTTTTTTTTTAAAAAGAAAGTGTGATATGTACTTTTTACAAAATTTGAATAGCATGACTACTAAGTAATTGCATTGTCAGATTGTGTTAATTGTTTTTATAATCATCATAGCTTATATGGTAACACGTTTTTTCTATCAGTATGACTAGTTTGAATATTCTGCACAAGGTAGTCGGTCATTTGTTCTCTTGGGTTTTCAGATTTTAAAACGATAGTTGGACACTTTTATTACACAATTTATTTACTTATTTGAACACATAAATATTGGTACAAAGGGGCACCGAATACATATACACCACACAAGTCATTTGATTCGTGTGTGGGCTGTGATACTGCCTGGGTGCCTAAACCGAAGCAGGTGATTTTCTTAGGGGGTCACAACCGGAGCCTTCGACCTTAAAGTCTGATCCACAAGGCCGTGGAGCAACATCAGGAGATACGGTCCCATGATAGCCGGTGACCAACAATTGGTACATACGCCATTTGTTCCTTCAGTATATTGGAGCCCACGTGGATCATTTCATTTTGGATCAGGGTTTTCCAACTCCCCTAGGTGGACTCATCGTTTCCGCCAAGCTGGTTAAAGCACTGGACATTTTCTTTTCGTCCTCTGAGTTTCGTAAACAGCATCCCCGTCACGAGAAAGCAGTGTGTAGGACTTTCCTGACATTGGCTGTATATGTGTAGCCATGTGAAAGTATTTCGAGAGGAAGAGCTGACTCTCTTCACCATCGTCCATACCTGGACATTTGGGAGCTGGGTGTTTCATGTATATATATATGATGAGTCACAAGTTGAACTTAGTCTGATTCTCACTATGTAATTTAATGTTTATGTAATGAGAATGTCATTATTCAAGAAAACAAACATTCATGCGTAGGAATATTTATGTTTATTCATTATCATTGGATAACTAGAATCAGTTCGTGATTTAAACAATGAAATTTCTACAATATTTTCACCCCCCTATCCTAATAATCATGTGGTCGCTAAGGTGTGATTCCTGGAGCTGTGACAAGTTGAGTTCAACTACGTCGGGTTTGAGGCAGTTATTCACCAATGGCAAATAGTTGTATAGTATCGTAAATTGAATGTTGACCACTGCGTACCAGCTCAGCAGTAGTTTAAGGGTTAAGGGTGCTCGTGAGAGAACGAAGTTTGTGGGTTCAGTCCTCTGTGATAGGATTGTGGATGCACACTAGTGAGGAGTTTCATACTAAAGCTAAGTAGTTATCCAATGCTTTATCGTTTTCACTTGTGATCTAGATAAAATCGGTTCATGTTTTATACTATGAAAATAATAGACACTCAATTATCTGAATTATTGGTTTATAATTTGAAATTCTTGCTGTCTTTTTTATTTTTGCCTATATCTTGTAACAGATCATCTAACTGAAGTATATGATGTCACAGTGGCCTATCCAGATATTTTACCGTCACCGGAAATTAATCTAATTTATGGACATATTCCACATGAAGTGCATTATCTTGTTCGCCGTTTCTATTTAAGTGATTTACTGGACATCACAAATGATAATCGAAAATTAGACGACGAAACAAATGATAAATTGTCAAAATGGTTACAAAATCGTTGGTTAGAAAAAGAAAATATTTTGAAAGAATATTATGGTTAGTTTACTTTATGAATTAATGTTTTACATATTATTGATTTCATATTTTATATAGACATTATGTATATCTATATATGATATGCTTTAAAAGTTGTTTAAAAATGGGAAATAGATGCCAGTTTAACTAGTTCAAGTCTAAACTTTAACCAATCAAAGAGAACTAATCATTTTATTGATTAGACATATACTCAAATGAATCGTTTAAATGATAGACATAAGTTACTATACAATATGATTTTTCTCTCCTTATAATTTTTAAACATTTCAAGAAATGTAAAATTTAAAAAGAGACGTTATTCATAGATAATCAGCATTCTTAAAGGATAAGTTGATTTTGTACTGAGAGCTGGGAAAGCGATGAGAATATAAAAGCATTTATGTCTATCAATTTTTACTATTCAAGGTTGCATAAACATCAACACTGCATTCAGCTGTCGAATCTCACATAGGATTACACGCTTTTTCTAGATTCGACTACATGGTACAGTTCAGAAATCGAGATAAGAATGAAATAGTGTTAACTATTAGTAGTATTTGTTTTCATCAATGCTAATTACTTTCTTTTTTTCGAATAAAAATAATTATTTGGTGCCTTTTTTGTGATAGTTCATGTATTTTTAATGGTTACATGAAAAAACGTGGATCGAACAACTGGTCTATGTATGATTAAAATTATAGCAGTTAAGTCTAGATACACATGTAAACTCCATAAATATTCATAAATTACTTTCATATCTAAATTTTTATGGACTTAAACGCTTCACAGTTAATTGTCAGTCTATGAAGTCATTCACTGTTGATTTGAACCATATGAGTCGACTCAGACTACGTGGTTGGGCTCTGCAAGATAACTGTGATTAGTGATTGGAGACTTTGGGTGGGATCAATCAAAATCATTCACAATCGCATGGTGACATTCACTCTTTTCCTTCATCTTGTTCTCGAATTTTTGTATAACTTCGTGCATACCTTTTCACTCTGTCTTCTCGATTCATATTCTCAACGTTTTATCTTTTTTTTTATCATCGCTATTACAATATCTCGAAGCAGCGACTCATGTCCGAGGTTTAAGTTGTTCTGCTGAATACTAAAGTGTTATAACAACGCCGTGGGAATTGCAGTGGTTTCTCGTTTACAGGTACAAGTATTAATCGATCCTGACATAAAAATCAGCGACTACCAGAAATAACATTTGGCGACTCAGTTACAACAGACCTAATATCTTCAACCATCAGTGCTTTATCCATTGAACTACTGGGTCTGGAGAGCTAGTAGCTGATGTATCCTAAGCGGGTTGCCTTTATATTGGTATTTAATCACAGGATTATATTAAGGTTGTGTAGTGCCATTATCGTAGCTCACTTCTCAGGATGTACATATGCTGATACAGATTGATCGATTGAATTTTTTTAATATGAATAACAGGAAAATACAAATCCTTACAAATATTATAATTATAGTTATCACTACTATTTATCGTTAACAAACATTCAGTTAGTAGTATTTATGTGTATTCACTTTTTTAACTTTACAGATAATCCTATTGGCAAACGTTCATTTCAAAATGAAATAACACCTGATAGTCTAGCATTCTATGCGAATTCGTCAGATAATATAATGTTCACTTATTTGGGTTTATTCAATACTGGATTTTGGTTTCTATCCATGTTCAGCTTAGTGTATCTGATTTGTACTACATTCTATATTCAGATTTATTTTTTCACAATTCAGTTATTGTTTACTTATTTCACTTATTACACAAATGGTGTTAATATATGGGCCACTAAATGGATTAGTAATTCTGTTAAAGGTGAATACAACGAGATCAATGATACTACTTTTAATGTTACTACTGCTAATAATAGTCATAATATTAAACATGATGTTGATAATAATGCCAATAATGTCTTCATGCATTCAGTTCAATATGAAGGTGTTGATCAGAATAGAAAAGCTACTTAAAATCACATTGTTCTTGCACTATAAACACAGAGTATAGATAATGTGAATCCAATATGTCGAGCTGTTTTGTTTGTTGTTTTTTCTTTCTGAAAGAAATAACTACTCATTGAATTCATCTTCACATTCATACTACTTGTTCTGCTTGCTTTTCGTCTCTTTCTCCACCGTTTGTCTACCGTCATCGTCAGTTAGTATTAATCATTTTAATTCTTTTTTTTCTTAATTATGTGAACTTCCCTTTTTTTCATCACAAGTATCTATATTATTATATTCTCTTTTCTTCCATCTGTTATTCATTTGATACCTGCAATTAGTTGTCAGTCGAATGACTTTAATTATTTATTTATTTACGATGATTTACTGTACCATGTGCAAGTCATTTCCTCTTTTTTCTAATTCAGTAATTATTTGGGACTTCTCTGTGTGTGGATTATTCCACTTGTTTTCGTTCATTGTTATCGATATTGATTAATTAAAATTTAGATCACATGTAACATCGAAATCGTACATACATTTATTTTCATCAACTTAATTTACAACATATAGATATTACCATTCGTGCAAGCATGTTTTTTTCTTTATTGAACGGCTTCATTTTTCATCTAAGTATACGTTGATCTTTTGAATATATTCTTCTTCTATATGTATTGATTGAAAACTCGAGTACTTTTAGTTTAAGAATAATTGATTTCAAGTAACGAATCTATTGTGAATCGCGAGGTGGCTACTCTAATTCTACCGATTGGTCAGCTTCAGATATCCCAGTACGACCCCCAATATATCAGAACACGAACCGTAGATGAAAAATTGTTATGGGGTCAGGAGCAGAATAATGATTTACAAACAAATGCATATTTATGCAGTTAGGATTATTATAAATGTTGACCAATGGGAAAATGACACGCGAAATAAATATTGATCAGTAGGGAAACGACCAATAGGAAAATGACACCATTTAACGTTCAAGGGTAGCATTAGACTTAACCGGATAATTGTTTTTGGGATATTTTTCTGAATATCCCAACAGAATCAAATCCTAACTAATGTCATCTTACACCCTTTCTATGTCATGTGTACGGTTATGATAATGCCAGCAGAAACAATTGTTTAGTAATATTTATGACACTACTTAGAAACAAACAATATGAAATATGCAATGCACTTCAACGTTGTTAATACCGCCACTATACAGCCAACGGCAATTCCTAACATTAATGTAAAATTATATATAATCACCATCAATGTTGTTAGCTGAAAGTTACGAAACTAATCAGTTGTTGAGTTGAAAGACTATTTCATGCAAATAAATAATGCTCTTCTATCTGCAATCTGTCGTGGAAGTCAATAAACTTGAATCCAAACAGTTAAGCACATAAGAATAGCTAGTGCGTCCCCTGAGTAAACCTTCACTTAAGTATAATCAATGTCAGGAAACGTCATTCAATGACAGGGTTATGAAATTTCAATCGTCAATAAGGAAGTAATAGTTAATTTATTGTGAAGTAAAAGTACATTATTTTAGAGACACTGAAGCTATCAAAGTTACATGTAACACGACATGGAAGGTTATCTCTTCAAAGAAGCAGTGACCCAGTGGTTAAAGCGTCGGACTTTCAGCCACTAAGTACCAGGTTTGAAACCCCATACACCAAGTTCAGAGAACGGAATAATGTAATTAGCCTTCAAACAAATTGTGGCTCATATTCAGCTACCTAGTGAATGGGTTAAGCTATATTCCTTTGTTAAAGCGTATTATTTGCATTTTCAATTAATCGAAGGTGAGAAACATTTTATCAAATCAGATATAATCACTATTGCGATTCAGTCACTTTGTTTATGATTTCACTAAATACAATATATCCATTTTAATCTATAAACATTTATCAAGTAGAGCTGTCATTAAATGTCATCGTAACCATCAACATAAATAGATTTTGAGATGTATATCTCTCATCGATCTTATTATTATCGTTACGTATGTGCACTTCTGGTTAATTTATATTTTACACACCCAGTTCAGAAATTGAGTTTTGTTATGGATTATCACAGACTGAACACGGTTAGAAAACCATTGGAAACTAGGAGGAACTGGACAGTTTTTTCATCCCTATGTAGAATTCGTCAGCAGTGCAAACTTCTGACCCTACCAAGGATGGAACCCAGGACGTTAAATACTCTTTGTGAGCGCTTGATCTTGCGACCACTAAGTTAGCATCCAATGATTCTAACTTCAACCAATTCGCAATATTGTGCGATCATCATCCATTAGAATTATCGATACTTGCCTCATGTCTAACATAAGTGACTTCCATTGATTCTAGCTTCTCTCTAAAACTACAAGAATTACCCGTTGAAGTTAGTCACTAAATAAACATTTGATGAATATTGCTTTATTTGTTGTGGGATGATTGTGATGACGAAAGTGAATGCTATTTGTTAGGGAGTATAGACAAACACTTATATCAGTGTCTATTAAATATGACCTTCCTTTTATTGATTTCTACTCCGTACTCACTGAGAGTGCCTGCTAGTAACTGTGTGAAATAAAGTATTGTCTAACGCTATTCTGGTTCTATAGTTTTAGTTGTGAGTCGGGTGTTTGATATAACATGATCTAGTCTCTATATAGAGGATTGTTCTAGTATTCAGTCCTGCTGTAGTATAAACTCAATCATCCAGTCCAGTCTTATTTCCGTGTCATAGTATCATGGTAGTATTCCGTGGAGAGAAAAATATTTCAATCCATCCGTTATAACATAGAGATTGTGGCCTTTAAAGTTTCACATCATGGGCTGACTTTGTTTAGATAACCACTCAGTATATTTAGTGTTTACATTTTATCAACATTACTTTTCTATACGAATAAACTTTAAATTGTTAAAAACTACACTGGAAATTTTTATCTAGTAATTGTTATATTATTAAGGAAATTCTATAACGTTTAAATGAAGTTGATAGTTTTACACTTTAGCTGTTCAGCAACACGTATTGATCATGAATGATTTTCTTCTTGCAAAAAATATGTTTTACGTTTGAGAAATTACCATGGTATGATGAAAAAGTGAAAAACAATTGATCTCAATAAAGTATACAGTTCAAGACAAATATTGTTAGGTAAATGAGTTAGTTTATCATAATCATTTCACTAATTTATGGATGATTCATTAATTGTATAAATCTTGAGACTATGATACTTCCTAGATTCGAAGTTTTGTCAGTTAAATCTTGTAAAATAATTTTTCTAAACATATTTGTTTCTCAGTAGCTGAGATCATGAGTCAATTGAAGCTAGACCACCATGGAAAACCTGGAAGTACTAGACGGCCGTTTTGTCCTAGTATGGGGCTCCTCAGCAGTGCGCATCCATGACCCCGCTCCCCGCGAGATCTGAACCCAGGAACTATCAGTCTCGCGCGCGAGTACTTAACCACTAGACCACTGAGCTGCCATCTAGCGGTTTTAATGTCTAACTTCAACTAATCCACGAAATTGAGCGACATATCCACCATTGTCATCAGTGAGTTACTACCTCACAACTGGATGCGAACTGCTGAGTCTCACGATAGGACAAAACGGCCATCCAGTTCTTCCAGTTTTTCCATGGTGGTCTAGCTTCAATTGACTCATGATCTCAACTATTGAAGTTACTACAATCTCCACAAAACCCAATTTGATATTTGTTTTTAAATGAGAAACATGATTTCATTGTATCATCTTATGGATGAAAGCATTTTCGAATACATTCATTAAGAAATAATAGCAATGTAGATATCGGTTGTGCAAAACTCACATAGTTTCCATCTAACTATTTTCAGAGTGTGCTATCGGGATAATACAATACAGTAAAACTTCTTTGTATTTCTGCATCAATATAAAATTAAACTTAGATTTTAATAATGTTCTAAAATTTTTACTTTTGGTAACAAATATATCTTTTTTCATCATCATAGTTTTTCCATCATATCTTGACATCAATGGAAATTCAAAAATCTCTTGAAAGTGCCAAACAAATTGTTCGTCTTAGTTTCGTACTTTTGAGCACTGAGCATTCGTGATCTTGTCGGAAATCATACTGAGGTATCTTCAAGTATTATCATTAGGGTATTACCTTTAGACCACATTTTTAACCCTACAATTCGTGATATGATGTAAATGTCATTCATCTTTCCCAAAAGATCGTAAAAATACTAAAAAAAATATGTACAATTTTTTTCGACTACATTTCATAATTGAGGTTTTTTTAGGATTTTCTTCAATAATAGATGTTCAGGTTTGACTTTTTTCTATAATTCAGAAGATACATTGGGAGTATTTTTCAATGTTACTATTGTAGTACATTTGATGCATCTGTCATCGGATTGGTAGTTTTGAGTTTGCAGGTTTATCTAGATATCTTTTAGCTGAAGTAAATACGATGCTTAGACATACATATGACCTTCTTCACAGGTTTACACACACTATAAAGGGAACAGAACTGCTTCAGGTTGGATGTAAACCTACTAATGTATATTCGTTGTAATATAAATCACTCCAAAAAAAAATAAGTTACATGGGTAGGTATGAATAATAAAAAGGTGGTATTCGTAGATGTTCATTCATCAGAGTTAGGATGATTATCTTAGTGCTAGAATATAACTTATTTGAATACTAGTCAAATTTCAATATCATTTAGTTATTAGTTACATCTATTGATGTTAATAACTACTACTGTAGGTAATATCTAATCGAAATTTCCAATGAACTATGGTTAATGATTGTAAACATGTGAAGTAAACTTAAGGAACATATATAAGGAAGAAGACGAATAGTAGCAACAACAAGTGAACATATAAAACAAACAAATAACAATATTGGTTAGAATTGATTTTTACTGAAAAAAATTTTGTTTACGAACAATTGGTATTATAAATCTAAATGATTATTGGTGTTTTAAAAAATCAAGTCAACATATCGATAGTTTGCTAATATTGACTGTAACAATTACAACTTCAGTTTACATT